GGTGTGTGTGTGCGCGCCTGTAGTCAGGTAGGTGTGTGTGTGCGCGCACACACACACCTACCTGACTACAGGCGCGCACACACACACCTACCTGACTACAGGCGCGCACACACACACCTACCTGACTACAGGCGCGCACACACACACCTACCTGACTACAGGCGCGCACACACACACCTACCTGACTACAGGTGCACACACCCCTACCTGACTACAGGTGCGCGCACGCACACACCCCTACCTGACTACAGGCGCGCGCACGCACACACCCCTACCTGACTACAGGCGCGCGCACGCACACACCCCTACCTGACTACAGGCGCGCGCACACACACACACCTACCTGACTACAGGCGCGCGCACACACACACACCTACCTGACTACAGGCGCGCGCGCACACACACACCCCTACCTGACTACAGGCACGCACACACACACCTACCTGACTACAGGCACGCACACACACACACACCTGACTGCAGGTCAACTCTCTCCCTTTTCTCTCAGGGTCCATCATCCCACTCTGGAGGCGTGGCTTAGCACAGCCAATCAGCAAACATCAGCACTACACTCCGCCCACAGGAAGCCGTCTGATGGTCAGTCACCTGTCAATCATTTAGAGCAGCGGTTCCCAAACTTTTAGGCCACGCACCCCCTTCTACGTCCCGACCAGGTTCACACACCCCCAATCCCCCACACCTTAAAAAAAAAAAGCAACAGAGCCTATTTATAGCCGAATAAAAATCGGACCAATGAGAGAACAGTTTGCTTGCGCGTGGCGTTTGTTTACAAGATAAAGACAAAAAATCTTCCTGCACCATGCCTTCGAAAAGGTAACTGACGTACACCAGAAGATTGGCCAGATTGGCCACATCTGTAGACTCGTCTACTTGCAGAGAGTAAAACTCACTCTTCTTCACGCGACCGACTAATGTAGCCAGGATGTCTTCGGGCAAAGCATCGACACAGTGTTGTTGGACACCGGGATCATGTCCAACTTGTTTCTCTCTCTCCAATCATACATTCCACCATCTCTTTGGCAGCTGGCAAGCACACGTCTTCGGCGATTGTGTGAGGTAGCCCCTTTCTTGCTATTCTGTAACTGACCAGATATGAAGCCCGTAGTGCGTTTTTTGTAGACCCAACACATGAATGAGACTGCAGTTGTTTTGGGCTGTTTTTGTAACTCCTCCAATTTCGATATAAACAATGTAAGGGGCTTTTGATTTGCACTGGCATGCTTGGTGTTCAGGTGGCGATGCAAATAAGAGGGCTTCAGACAGCTGTTAGCCAGAACCTCACTGCACACCACGCACTGTGGCTTTGGGCAATCTGCATTGGCAATCCAAGTGAAGCCCAGACAGATAATTTTCATCATATTTCCTCTTTTTTCACCTTGACTCCGCGAAGGGCCTATGTGCTCCCCATTTGTCTGTGCTATCCCTTCCTCCTTTTCGGTCTCCTCCGTCTCATCTTCCTCTGACTCCTGTTCGATTTCTTCTCCCGGTCTCTCCCCAACGCACCTCTCCGTTTCTCTCGCCTCTGATTCCTCTCTCTCTCTCTCTCTCTCTCTCTCTCTCTCTCTCTCTCTGTCCCTCTCCTCTTTTATGACTGATAGCTTCAGATGTCCCACCTGACAGTTTCCCCGATTTCAGCCAGTTTAGCATTTTTGCATGAATGTTGCTGAATGAATGAAGTTAGCTGTTAGCTGACATTAGCTGCACAAGCTAGGCTGGCTAGTGTGTACGTAAAAGACTGGCGGCAGGAGCTGAAGTGCATTTATTTATTAAATTATAAGTTTTTAATTTTTAATTTAAATCTTACAAAGGGAATTATTATAATTCATGTTTTTATTTTGTGAAAAATCCCACTTACGTTTTTTTAAAATTATATTTAATATTAATTATTATACCATTAGACCACCATTACATTTTTCCTCTCGCCCACCCCCTAGAGGCATCTCGCGCACCCCTGGGGGCACCACACTTTGGGAATCCCTGATTTAGAGGGTGGAGTCACACCATCCAAATCTGTGTTTGTGTTTGATAAATATATTGTTTGGTTACATGTTTAATGACCTGTGTGTCTATTTCAGGTGTAGCAGAGGGTGTGGAGCCTCCTGTTCCTGAAGGATTCAGAGTCGACTTCACTCCACAGTGAGTTTGGATTGGTACCACTGCATATCTGTTAGAACACACCTGGATGATGTCAGCAGGTGATGATGTCACTGTCTCTCTCAGGAACCCGTTCTCCAGCAACATCAGGGAGATGATCACCACCTTCGGCATGTCGACCTACAAGGTGGGACTCAAGGTGAGTCTCAAGGTGAACCTCAACGAGCAGGACCACAGAGTCCCGGTGCTGAGCTGGTCCACCTGCGCCTACACCATCCAGAGCATAGGTATGTACACACACCTGGGAAGGGTACATGAGCACACCTGGGAGGGGTATGCGTGCACACCTGGGAGGTCAGAGGTTGTGCTGACAGTGTGTTTCTTTGCAGAGCGCCTCCTGATGGATGAAGACAAGCCGTTGTTTGGAAGTTTACCTTGCCGACAGGTAACAAAGAGACGTCCCGTCTCATTGGACAGGAGATGGAAACCTGCATTGTTTCAGATATTTAATAACAGAATCAATTACAGAGTTTTATTGAGGTTTGAATGAAGCAACACCAGAAAGTAACACATGAAGAATATATGTTCACTTCAGGTACATCATGACATGAAGATATAAAGTGTGTGTGTGTGTGTGTGTGTGTGTGTGTGTGTGTGTGTGTGTGTGTGTGTGTGTTACAGGATGACTGTTTAAGCGCTCTCACCAGGTTCAGTTCAGCCTGTTGGACTGCAGCTCCACCAACAACAGTTCAGTCACACTTCATCAGGCTGCTAGCAGGTAATACACACAACACACAACACACACCAGTGGTGGGCCTTCAAGGCCTTCTCTGCTGGCCTAAACTGAATCACAAAGTTACTGTATATCTATTTTATAATATAATAATGTTTCTTAAATACACTACATGTATTATAATTTATATAAATATTTTCCCCATTATCTTATGTTCTCATTGCACATCTCCTGTGTTCCTCAGTTGCTCTGCTTCCAGTGCAGCTTGTTTTAAGTAGAGCTTTTATCCAATCAGATCTCACCTCTGTGTCTCGAGGTAAGAAGAGAGGCCTGAGGCCTGCAGACTCTCAGGTGCATCCATGTGCAGTTTAAGTGAATGGGGACGATATTGTTGATTGTCATAGTGTTCAACCAATCAGATCTTTAGTTTGACATGTTGGGCATATTCTTTGACGTGTCAGAGCCTGCTAGCTGGCCTATAAGTACGTCAGCATTAACGTGCAGCTCGGTTTTCAGGTGCACTGTGATTGGTCAGTGGGCGAGCACGTGACTATTGTGAAACGAAACTTAACTAGCCATCAGAGGCTTAGTCGGAGGAGTGAGAGTTCAAATTGAAAGATATGGAAGAAATAATAACATTTTTAGGGGTTTGCTCGGTGTAGTTTATTTATTTTTTTTACCTAGCTTTGTTTTTTTAACACTCAATGGCTGAAGGAGGAGAAACGGATTTACTGACAATGCCTTTCTCAAGAAAGGACATTTCAGGAAAAGCTGGACATCGTAAGAAATGGTCAGTCAACCTCAGCTGGCAGCCTGACTCAGCCAGGAAAAGGATTTGTATGAACGGTATTTCTTGCTGACAGCGTCGGATAAGCGTTGCACATTTTATGGCTAAGAATGTGTTTCATTTTAACTGAGCTGTTGGTGTTTGGAGCTATGCTACGCTAACCTGAGGATGCCATAGCACGGCAGGACACTACGGTGCTTCTGAAAACTTTTGGAGAGACCCGAGTGGATCTACAACTCAATGAACACGTTCGCAGGGAAACGGCTCCTCAACCGCAGCCCGGCGTGCGGTCTGCGGGGGCCGGTGGAGGAGGGATCCCGGCACCACTACGAACCTGCCACAGCAGACCGGTGAAATACAACTGGGGAGGCTCGACTGTCATCACTGGCGTCCATGAATCCAGAAGGACTTCTTACTGGAACTGAAACGATGTACTGGGATTAAACTCTTTAACAAAGAAAGGAGGATGGAGTTTGTCTTTAAGTGAACAGCACTTGGTAAGTGAAGTACATTTGTTTGTTTGCATAGTAACGTTACTACTGTTCATTTGTCTATCGTGTCGTTTTTATTAATAATATTTGAATGGCTCGTGCTCTTGTGTGGTGGAATGCGTGGATCCGCTGCAGGTCTGCTGGATTGATTTGTCCTGCTTTGTTGTCATATAAATATATGTGACTGGTTCTTGTGAGTTTGTCATTGTGTTAATTACATTGATTTTGAGTATATGCATTGTCCGTTAATGACGCAGCGTCCCGTCATGCTAGGGCTGGGCTTCAACCGGTATACCGGTTTTAATTTCCCGTATGATATAATTTTTCACACACCGTCATACTGGTGCACAGCCAAAACAACTGCTGTCGCTCTTCAACAGGCAGCAGAATATATTGTTGGCCGCTATGAGCGCTACAGTCGGCGCTAGTTGTCTTAAGTGTGTTGAGAGGGAACCCTAGTCATGGTTATAACTTTATAACAATTAATAACCTACAACTAACGCTCTGTAACAATAAAACACCACGACACACCAGTTTGTGACACAATTTGTAACACGAATAATTGTACATTTATAAAATGTCCCTGCCGAACTGCATGCTGGGTAAAGCTAGCTAACAGTCTGCTAACAGCTGGGAGAGGCTCTGTCGCTCCAGTAACGTTACATTAAAGAACAGAACAGAGCGATGCAGGATGAACAAAGACTGAACAAAAGGTATTGTGGTCAGACACATATGCAACGCTGATTACCGTAATATGTGTGGTATTTGTTATAAATGTACGTTGGTACATAGAGGGTGATAAGAAGCTGTACATGGAGGGGCTTAGGACCCAGGGGAATGTAGGTTAAGGAAACAGGAAGTGACGGAACGGAAGACACGCCACACAAACAGCTGTTCACCGCTCGCTGGCCGGTTGTCCGGTCGGTTCTTTTCGGCGTTAATTAATTAATGCTTTAATGCGAAGAAAAAAATACCGTGAAAGCGCCAGAATCTTACAAAATACCGTGATATGCATTTTTGGTCATACCGCCCAGCCCTACGTCATGCACGTATTCATGTATCTGCACTCTGCAGTTCGTGTTTTGTAGGTGTTGAGCTTCATGTAACATTTAATTTCACTTGATTCAACTGTAGTAGGACAGCACTGAAGGCCCAGGTATAAAATGCACGGCCCGCCACTGCTACACACACACACAATAGACACACACACACGCATACAGTTGCATATGTTTGTAACCAGTCTGTGTTGTCTGTGTGTACTGTAGCCCTGGTTCCAGACTCTCAGGTAGAAAACTCTCTCTCTATCCTCGACATCGACATGTTTCACCTGCTGGTGAGTTTCATCACTTCATATTGAGTTTAAATCCAGTTTATATCTCTAAATCGGGTTTAAGTCCTGTTTATGTCCAGTGAACTGTAGGTCCAGCTATCTTCCAGCCAGTTAACATCCAGTGTCGCTCCAGTGTAGTAGGTCCAGTTAACTGTCAGTGTGTTGCTATCTCTGCAGGTTTACAGTGTGATGTCATACAGTTCGGTTCACAGTCTGGACCAATCAGGACAGAGAGTGGTAGACTCCGCCCACCTCCACCTGCTTCACCTGGTCACTGTGGCTCACCTGGTTCAGATCCTGCTCACCTCCACCACAGGTGTCCGTCTCTGACACACACACACACACACGTATTGCAGGTGTCTCTCTCTCACCTGTCTGTCTCTCACCTGTCTGTCTGTAGAGGTGGTGTGTATGGATCAGGACAGTGGAGGATCAGAGGAGGAGGAGCTCACCTGGCGGCTCTACAACACGCTGAGGAAACACCTTGGCAGGTCGGTACACACACTCTCACTCAGACACATCCACACACCTAGACGCGCGCGCGCACACACACACACCTAGACGCGCGCGCGCACACACACACACACCTAGACGCGCGCGCGCACACACACACACACCTAGGCGCGCAAATCATTAATATAAATAAGGAATAATAATGGTCCAAGAATGGACC